CCAGAACAAGAATTTTGTCTGTTTTACTTTCTCTCATATCCACAGAATTTAGAGCAGTTCTTGGCAAGAGAACAGACATGAATAAAGTACTTACAGCTCAAAGTCTAACAGGGAAGAGAGGCCCAAGGCAACAAACAGACCTCCTAAACAGTGCGGCATGGTGACACCAAGAAATCTTGGTAAGCTTGGGCTAGGACAATAATAAACCTCTGCTGGAGAAAGATGCACAACAGGATCAGGAAGGAAGGCTGGAAGCAGTGGGCACAGTAATGAAAAGCAGCATGTGGAAAGGCTGGGCACAGATCACTGAACATCAAGGAAACTTTCATAGCTGCAAAGGTGAGTGGAGAAAGGGACAAAAGGACATGTTGTAACAGGAAGGCAGAGCATACGTGGCAGGGCAAGGTGTCACGGAGGGAGATGAAACGGAGGAACAGCACGACCAGATTTGCTTCTTACAGAAGCAGGGGCAGGGTGGGAGTAGGGGTGCGCTGGGGATGGGGTGAATGAAGGTAAATCTGTAGGAAGGAGAGTATTTAAAAGATTGCTACAAAAGTCTCCACAAAAGAACCAATGGCACTAAATCTAAGGCAGTGGGGTTGAAGATGGAAATTAAAAAGGTCATCTTCACTGGATATAAAAATTCTACTTTTTCCATACTCTGTTTCAGTTTCATTTCCTACAGAAAGCATTCTATTTGGAGGAAAAAGCAAAATGGAATATTTCTCTCTCTCTCTCTCTCTCTCTCTCTCTCTCTCTCTCTCTCTCTCTCTCTCTCTCTCTCTCTCTCTCTCTCTCTCTCTCTCACACTCACACACACACACACACACACACACACACACACACACACACACAAGTATGTCTATATCCAGAAACCAAACTATGGGATCAGACAGTAAGTCATAGTTCTTCTGTCCTCTGAATCAGCATTGTTTTATTTTCAGGTCAGCTCTTTGTTCACAACTTCCCTTAGAACCTACAGGTTTAAGTCTAAAGAGGAAAGACCTGACATTCCAACAGAAGTTGCTCCTACAGAAGGGATGCTGTGCTCCTGCTGGCAAGCCTGAGCTTCTTGTCCACTTCTGGGAAGGAGATAGGGCCACTGCAGCCCATAACATAACTGAGGGAACATGGGGGAAGGCTGATTCCTCAGGGAAAACTCACCACTTACACCAGAAAACAGGAACATATGCCAGGCAGTTGGAAGCTCAGAGTTCCACCATCACATCCAACTAATAAGGGAAAACTACATTTTGAGTGGCTCCTCTCAGTTCCAGTTTCCCCCTAACTGATAGTGCCAGGCTAGAAGAAAGGCAGTCTTATGGTACCACTTAATCCCAATCACTGTGAATTTATACCAGTCCACTGAGCAAAACCTCCTCATTAGTCTTAGTTTCCAAAAGGCTGAGAGTGAGCAACAAACTTGCCCAATGGCAATGATGAGGTGCAGATAGATGACCATTTGGTCTCACTACACTTCCTGTGTTCTGACCACAGCTGAGTAATTCATGTTCTCCAGGGCACATCAGGTTCTCTCAGGCCATGGTTTATGCTGGTTTCCCCCACCATCTTCCAACATGAAAATTTGTTGTGGCCTCCTCTTCTTTCTTTTCCTCAGCTCTGTGCCTAGAATGTCTTTCTTGACTTTTCCTCCAACGAATCTAGTTTAATGCTTCACTCATATATTCCCTCATCATCTTTTGTACCATTTCCCCATAAGACACAGCTTCCTATAATCACTTAGTGTCTATTTTTTTCTATGCAACTATAAAGTTCTTGAGGCTAGGACTGTGCCTGTCACCTCTATACAACACAGACACGTGGGACATGGGGGGCTGTGCTTACTAAAGGAATATTCTGAAGACCAAAACTCACACTGTGGTGACTTGTTGCACGTTCATTTGCCTTACGTTAGCATTACCTTTTTAAAAAGTCTCTTACATGAACAACTTAATAGTACTCTTTCTTGTTACCAGAAAAATGAACACTATTCCAGTCACTCTCATTCCATTAATACTTCAGTGACAGGAAACTCAGGCTAAACATCATGGTGAATTTATAGTATCCAAGGTTATGTGTTTAGATAGAATTGTCTCCATATTCCTTCCAATGAGTGATTTATTCATAGGTCTCAGAATTATTATGAACCATTCATTCTTTTTGGAAGGAAGTAGGAGCCCACAAGACACAATGGATAAATAACAGCTATGAGTATTAGTAAAACTGTAAGTGAAACATTCTATTTACTAGTAAATGAATATTCAGTGTTTTGTTCATTGTTGAGCAATCTGTGGAGGGAAATGCTTCCTTTGCCAAACCTACCCAGAGCTGGCTCATACTGGGAGCAAAATAACTTTTCTCAGTACCCAACCCAGCTGCCTATACCTCTTCCTGTTCTACGGCTCTTACTCTATTTTACAAATAAATGAAAATAATTTGGTCAGCCTGATCGGACCACCACAAATGTCATCTCCTTAGGCAGGAAGCAATTATCAATAGACGTATAGAATTATATCTTTAAAGGCTTAATAAGATGTCCAAGGATGGTGATGAGGATGATGGCTAAAATTCACATAGTGACTACTGTGTCAGAGGTACTATTCTAAGTGCAATCTACACGTTTGCTCATTTAGGTATTAATACAAACTGTATGGCAGGTTGCTATTATTATTATCCTAATTTTATAAGAAAAACTGAGACACTAAAAAGTCAAGTGATATCCCTAAAGTTCATACAACTAATAAGTGGCAGGGCTAGGATTTCAACCTATATATTTAGATCTGGGTGCATGTTCTTAACCACATAGCTATATATAAAGAAATAATACTGAGGTGGACAGAGCCCAAATGTGGCTGAGATCTTTAGAAGAAAAAAACCCTATTCACTAAAAATATGACGTTCTATCCTTTTTAATTTTTGTCAGGCTCATTGCTAGGGATTCTAATCAATACTTCCTGAGCAATAATGCCCCACTGAAACCACAGCAACAGTGTATAATATGGGTTGTAAGGCCAGATGGACATAGCTAGGCTTGAACTCCCACTCTATCACATCCTAGCTTGGGTCATGTGGCTAACTGGGGATGCCTGGCACACTATTCCACTCAGCAGGCACAAAGCAGGGAAGCTATATGGTCAAGTTCCCCCAAGTGACCACACCTGAACCTCTTCTGTGAGAACTATCCTCTATCCCCATGTCCAGAGTGTGTGGTAGGTGTCACCTGCTCCTCATCAGGACAACTGTCTTAGCTAAGCACCTGACTCGGACTGAGGGAATGCTAACACCTTACTGCCAGGCAAAGTGCTTGGAATAGGACCCCAACTGGGAACAAGTCACCCCTGGCACTTTTCTAAAGGAGTGGGGAGGAAGCTGCTGTTCCTCTGCAATCACAAGGCAGTGAGGACTTAAGCCTGGAGCTGCCAGTGGCCTTGGTACTATTGTGTTTGACAGAATGAAGCAAGCATGTGAAGCCCCAGAGACAAGATACCAGGGAGAGACCTGACAGTTTTGGAATCCCTGGTTCCAGTGTTCCCCTCCCTACTTCAAGGTTATCAAACACATCAGCCAGTTGTTCATGTAGGTAGAGAAAATGAATTCACCTTAGTTTCTGTCATTTTCAACTAGGTGAATCCTATCTTTAGCTCTCCAAAACCTATTTTCTTCATCTACAGAAATAAAACAGCTCTACCTTTCTAGGCAGTTCTGATGGGGAAATAAGATATGAACTTAAAGTACCTTGGCAGTATATCTTATGATTAGAAAGGGCTGTGTGGCTGTTAGTTGACAGGTCCACAATAGCATTTGTCTACCTACAGACTCTGCCAAAGATTCTTGAGTTCTTCTTGACTCCTCTCCTGTGTCACAAACAATATGATAGCAAGTACCACTGGTGTAACTTTAAACTCTACATAGAATCTAACCATTTCTCATCTCCACTGCCCCTACCTTTGTCCAGGTAGGGACTTGCACTGCAATAGCCTCCTAACAATATATCCTTATTGTTATTATTATTGTTGTTATTATAACATATATTATTATATGTTATTATTTGTTTATTAATTTTCACATTACTGGCTATTGAAACCAGCCCCTGTGCACACTGGGCAAGCACTCCATCACTGAGCTACATCTCTAACCCTTTTTAATTTTCTTTTGAGACAGGATCTTCCTAAATTGCCCAGGTTGACCTCAAATTTGCAATCCCCCTGCCTTATCTCCCAAGTAGCTGGCATTACAGGTATGTGCTATCATGCCTGGCTCTTGCCTAACTTTTTTTTTAAATTAGTGTACAGTAACTGTACAAAATAATGGGTTCCATTATGATACTTAAACATGGATATGCAGGTATCTCTGTTGTATGCTGCCTTTTAATTCCTTCAGATTTATACCCAGGAATGGTATAGGTGGATCATATGGTTGCTCTATTTCTGGTTTTTTGAGGAAACTCCACATTATTATCTATAGTTGGCCCTACTTTCGACAGTCTGTTCTACACACAGTAGTCAGCAATCCTTCTTCATTAACAGGTAAATTGAAGAGAGGAACATGGTCCAGTGGCATTTCATCTCACTCAGGATACATGTCAGGGCTGTCCTTATTCTGGCCCTGGTCTCCCTCTGGGCCTAACCTACTCCAATCCTGTTCCCTGTTCCCTGTTTTTCCTCAAATAGTCACCAGATTACCACCTCCTTTCATAAATTTCTTCAAGCCTTCCTCCCTGCTTCCTTTAGCTCTCTGCTCAACAGCTACCTTTCTGTGAGAAAGGCCTGGCACACTGTCCCCTACTAATCCTGCTCTGTTTTCCCCCATACTACTTTCTATCTTCTGACCTACTGTACCTTTTGTCCTATTTTTTTCTATTGCCTGTCTTTCTAGAACACAAGTTCCATGAGAGCAGGAGGTCTGATGACATCTCAATGAATGAATATGCCCTCCATCCCTTTTCTGGAGGGTGTTGGGTGGGGGAAATATGGGCTATAGCAGAAACTTTTTACACTTACTTGGCACAGCGTACCCAGTGGGTGTGTCGGTATAAGGAATATAAGAAACGTTGGCGGTGCATATTCCATACTTTGATGGATTTGTCTTCAGAAGCTGTGACTAGAAACTGGCCATCAGCTGAGAAGTTCACACTTCGAACTGGACCTGTATGTGCTTTAAATTCTGAGGATTTCCCTCTCCTGGAAATGAACAGTTTAATATTAATAACTTACTTGACTTAATTATAATTAACATTTAATCACTACATAAGAATTGGAAAAATAGCTTAACTCCGGTAAGCCTAAAAAAAGCATGAGAGGGCTATGTTATATTGTACTCTTCATCAGTATCTCTTCATACTGGTTCATTCATTAAAATTAAAATTGATGCCTAAAATTGTCCCCATCCCCAAAATGCATTTCCTGCTTATATTTTACTTGGAAGGTAGGAAAATATAGTATTTTGAACCCATCTCTACCATGCATTTTAACTACCTGTAGAACTCTCAATCTATAGAGAAGTTACAACCTAGAAAAGCTAAGATTGATGAAATGAATAGCACCAAGGTGTTGTTTTATATCCAGGTCACATGGACGTTGTGTGGGTTTGGCAGTCTGGATTAGGAAGAGAAGATATCCCCTGCATCATTTGCCTTCATACACAATACCCGTAGGTGGTCTTTCTTTCCTCTTCCACCTATGTTTCCAGTTACCAGTGATGAGAACTGAGACCAAGGATGTACTTAAGGCCTTGCTGACTTAGTAGGCCCAATCTTACATTCATAAGCATGACAAAGGATAAATGGTAAAAACATACTGAAATTTCAGAAACATTTTTTTTCTTTGTTAGGGAGGGAAAAAGATAATAGAAATAATGATGGAGTAAACAATGTGAATCATTTGAAGAGAAAAGCAGAAAAAAATGTTAAAACAGGAGCAGCCTGTGTTGCAGTTATAAGGTGATATTTGGGAAATACTCTGTGTTGGTGTTCTTGAGTTCTCAAGGCACTTTCACTTTATAGTATATCCAGGACTTAATTTTTCCGTTTAGAAAATCATATTTATACTAGTGACACCTTATGGGAAAAATTGCCACACTGCTTGAAAAAGATCACACAAAACACAGTCTGGGTTTTCATGTAAGTACTGCATTCTAACTGACTGCACCACTGGAGGCCCTCCATGGGCTTTTCAAATGTTCACACAAATGTCCCACACAACCGTGTCTCATCCTGTATTTGCTACCTTGGTTGGTTAGAGCAACATCCGCCTGTCTCCAAGCCAGGAGCCTGGAAGTCACAAGAAACTCCTCCCCCTTCCTCTCCTCCCACATCAAGTAAGTCAACAAACCTATCATTACCATTTCATACATATCCTTTTAGTACTCCTTTCCAGTCTGTCTCAACTCCAATTGCCTTCAGATGGATATATTCTCAACCTAGATTACTGGAAAAGCCTCTTAACAGGCCTCCCTGCTCTAATCTTCTACCCGCCCCCCACCAGTCACCTACATATTGTGCTCATGACCTTGCTCAAAATGTAGCTCCAAGCACATAAATCAAGTGTAAACATGCCACTAGCTCCCTAACATAAAGTGCACTGCCCAAGCTCTTTGCGTGCCATCCTGCCACTGTGCTGAACTTTGTACTTAGAACAATTGAAGTGCTTGAAACACACCTCCGCCTGCCTTTGCACTTGTGCTTTTTCAGTGACCAAGCCACACTGGCTCAATTGCTCCTTATCTGCTCAACTGTTTTACTTACTACTTGTATCATGGCTTTTAAAAACTAAACCTGTTTCTCTCCCATTAAGCAGCATGTTAATCAATTCATCTCTAGGACCAGCACTTAGCAAAACAAAAATCAATATTCAAAGGTTCTTAGATCTAACATGGCTTACCCTTTCCAGTGACCTGTAGCAGGCAAAGTTAATGTTATCATTAATTTCTATCATCTGACATATTATAATCCACCAGGAATAACTGAAATTATCATTCAACGAAACATTCAGGGATGACTTCAGTGATGTTTCAAGGGAGATCATTATGAGCAGAAATCAGAAGTACAGTTTGGCCTGAATTTAAGCTTAAGACCTAGAGGAAACAAAGGAAAGGCTTGGCATTTGCAAAGAGCGGGAAGCATGAGACAGTCAATCTGTCTCATGAGAATCTGCCCTGATATTTAGTTGTACATTCCACACTCCAGCAGGGTATTCTGCTTGCCTTCTTTCTAAAGGCCTTTCTCAGCTGCAGGCAGGCCTGACCACGAGATCCTGCCTGAACAGGTAGCAAATAAGAAACAAAGAAATTTGTGCTCTGTTTGTTGTGCTGCTGCTGCTTAGCTGGTTTCTCCTCCTTTTGAATCTGAGCTGGCAGTGTGATATATTGCGACTAGCAGAATGTGGCAGAAGTGATACTGAGCAAGTTTTAGGACCAGCCCTTAAAAAGGTCCAGCTGCTTCTGCTTTTACTCTCCCAGACTGAGCTGTCACACTGCAAGAAAATTCAGGTTATCCTGCCAGATGACCAAAGTGCCCCAGCCAATTGCAGCATCAAGGCCCTGGCGCTGTGAGTGCACCCAGCTGCTAGTGCAATGCACCCAACACCAAATGGGGAGAAGATCCACCCTGGCAACCCATAAAATTGTTAGAAAAAAAATCACTTTCCCATTCAAATACTCAGTCTGGGGCACCATTAGGCCATGACAGATAACTGATCACTGATAAATCATCAGCTCCCATTCTGTTGCCATGATCCAACCATTGCCCTGGTTCTACCACTATGTAGAAAGAGAAAGCAGAGACAGCTACACAAACATAATCACCATACTTAGATTAGCCACTACAAGCTAATGACTGAGTGTGATTGGTTTGAAAAGTCTTTTACAGAGAGATTTTTTTACAACAGGATATGATATTAAAATGCAATGATTTATATTTTCATCAAAATTTTTCTTTAATAAGAAAATCCTGAAGCCCCAAAATAAATGATACCAATCGAAGAATAGTTTGGGCCCAGGGGTTTTCAGTAGTGATTGAAGGGTCCCTAAGACATCCTTGAATGGGCATCAGGAGGTTAGTACACTGTAAATTTTTGATACATGTCAAGTATCTTTCTGGGGAGACAATCTAAATCTTACATTAGATTTACAAACAAACTGGTAACTACAAACCCCCCCCTCCCAGTTTTCAAAAAGAAGATGTAATTATGAGGTAAAGATAAGAAAAAAAAATTGTAAGAAATGGTTGATTTTAAAACAAGGGCAATACAGGCATTCCCAAGAATTGCATTAGCAGCAAGGTGCAGCATTCTTCCACATTTCTAAATTCACAGCATATCAAGTGTTTGCTTCTCTTACTTATCAGGAATCCAGAGTCTAATGGTTCTGTCTCGTGAGGCAGATGCCAATAAGTTTCCATGCGGAGAAAACTGCACACTGGTTACAACATCCTTGTGACCCACATATCTGTAAGCTCTAGCTTGTGGTTTCAAATTCCATAGCATGAGAAAGGTATCCCAGGAAGCAGTAGCTATCAAGAAAAAGAACAACAAAACACTGTTTGTTAAGATTCAAACAGGCATGTCTCATTACAGTAGGCAGCACATCTAACAGCAAAGTGTCCTGGTAATAGAGAAGCTGGAGGTTGTAGGGCTGACCGGGTAATAGCAAATATATTAAACCACATTACAAACATGCAAGTCTGGCTGCACCCTATGTAACCACAGCAGGATTCCTGGTCCCAGCATTCAGTGAGAGTTCAGTAACTATTTATTACAAGAAGGCAGCAAAATATTTCAGAGTATATTAGACCAAGAGTCAGTTTAACTCTCACTGTCTGGGTGATTGGGAAGTTACTACACTCTGTATCATGAGTACCAAAAAAAGTTTTGTTTTTTGTGTTTTTTTTTGAGAGGGATGGATAATTTTTAAAACTGTGAAAATAACTTCACACTTAATACAAATCACATTAATATACACTTTGCTCCAATCCACCTATAAGTATTTTGCCCTGTTTGGCTTATAATTTGCTCAGTGTTTTTCTTTCTGTACACAAACACATGTGTACAAACACAACACACAGATAATTTTTTCCTGAACCATTTCAGACTAGGTTACGTAAATCGTGTCACCTTTATTCCTAAATATACTTCAGCATGTTTTTCCTAAGAATAAGGATATTCTCTTTATAAACTCATAGCATGGTCGTCAGCATAAGAAGATTATCATACATGTAACACTTTATCTACCAACTGTATTCTAATTTTGTTAATTGATGCAGCAATGCTTATACTTCAGGGTAAGATGATTTTAAAAGTCTCTGCTCTGCAATTTTATGACATTTGGTGATTAATAAAAGAATCATGTGTATCAGACATTAGCTTAAAACTTTGGGAAGGGAAACAAATGTGATCAGTTATGGAAATAAAAGCTTTGATGAAGAATGACAACAAATGAAAGTTCAAACTTTTGCCTAAAAAACAAATGTTATGTTCGAGAATAGTTCCAATAATGGGAATCAGGTCAATGAAAATCACTAAGTCTAGATTATAGAATGCTTAGAAAAATTGTAACTTTGTAAACTTGATTTGCAGTTAGCATGATTGTTAGAGAAGAAAAAATTAGGGCATGGGTTTATAAAACTACTGAGGCTTTGTAAGTTCTTTAGACAACTCATTTGGATTTAACCTACACATTATCTCCATGTAAAACAGTTAAAAGTGAGTTTATAAATTTTAAACTACAATGTTACTTAGCATTCTCCTTTTTTAAAAAAAAGTATAAAAAAGTGATCCTCCATCATAACTCATTCAAATTATAAAATGTCCATATCAGGGTCTGAATTATCTGGGATTAGTATAGTCTAAACAGGGAAATAATTATTATGTGCATTATGCCCTGGACCCTATATGAATTCTATATATCATGCTGCAAACAAGATATACAAAAGCAAATAAGACAGAATTCCTTCCCTCAGAGAATCACAGTATAGTATGGAGACATTGTCAATAGTATCATACACATACAGAGAACTTTTATATATTACTTATCATTAACAATCTGAGGACATTTGAGCAGACTACTTATCATTAATGATAAAGGATGTGATCAGGTGGTCCTTTTTGAGGACATCTGAGCGGAAAGCTGAGTGAAATAGAAGCAATCCAGGCTAAGATTTAGAGAGATAGCACTCTGGGCAGAAGGAACCCCACATACATACAAAAATCTGAGATGAGAATGCACATGAAGACTGAGGAAAGCAAGGAGTCCAGCATGCCACAGTAAGAAGGGAGAGAATTACAGGAGGGAGGCCTAGAAAGAGGGCAGGCCTCAGGCAAGCAGCCATGGTGAGAAGTGCATATTTTATTCTAAATTCAAAGGGAAACCACTGTAGGATTTTGAAGAGGGAGAATCTCATGATCTGCTAAAAATTATCACTCTGAAAATGCAGAAGACATAGTCTATTAAAAAAATGTGTTGGATCCAGATAACAAATCAACAAAGAAACCTCAGAATTAAATCATAGACCAAATGAACTCAATAGACATCTATACAATATTTTTTTCCAGTACTGCACAGTCCATATTTTTCTCCAAAACAGATATTTTAGAACACAAAGCAAATTTTAGCAAATATAAGAAAGTTGAAATAACTCCCTATATTCCATCAGACTGCAATGGAATAAAACTAGAACACAACAGCAAAAGTAGCTACAGAAAACAAACACATGGAGACTGAGTAACACATTGTTATTTCACTATGAAATAAGGGGGGAAAACCTCAAAAGTTCCAAGAATCTACTGAAAATGAAAACATAACCTATAGGAATCTTTGGGACACAGCAAAGGCAGTGCTAAGAGGAACATTTATAGATATTAGCATCACAACAAACAATAGGGGAGTATCAGAGGAAAGGGAAAGGATACTTGGGGGTGAAGAGGATCAAAACATGAAGACAGCATAATGAAACCCACAAAACACGTTTTGAAAAAAGAGGGCAGAAGAAGAAATGAAAATATAATGAAGGGGATAAATTTGTTCAAAGTACACTGTACTCATGTATGGAATTAATACAATTAAATCCCCTTGTATTATTAATATGTGCAAATTCAAAAATAAAATTTAAAAAAAGAGAAAAAAGACCCACCAGAGATCTTAAGTAGCCTAATAATCACCTCAAGCTCATAGAAAATCAAGAAAAAGCCAAACCCAAATAAGCAGACAAATAAGATTAGGGCAGACATTAATTAAATTGAGACTAAATAAGATTAACAAATCTTTAGCCACTCTGACTAAGAGGAGGAGGGAAAAGACCCAAATTAATAAAATTAGAGATGAAAAAGTGGATATTACAACAAATACCAATGAAATCCAGAGGCTCATGAGGGAACACTTTGTAATTGTAATAACATATGTAAATGTCACAATGTATCCCCCTGTAGAACTATAACATGCTAATAAAAAAAAAAAAACTACACTGCGATTCCATCTCACCCCAGTCAGACTGGCAATTATCAAGAAAACAAGCAACAACAAATGCTGGTGAGGATGTGGGGAAAAATCAACCCCTATACACTGTTGATGGGAATGTAACCAAGTGCAACTACTATGGAAATCAGTCTGGAGGTTCCTCAAAAGACTAAAAATAGACTAATCTTATGACTTCATCATTCCACTCGAGCATGTATCTGAGGGACTATAAATCAATATACAAAAAATATACTTGCATACCCATGTTTATTGCAATTCCATTCAATGCTGCCAAGCTAACACATACCATGGAAAATTACTCAGCTATAAAGAAAAATGAAATTATGTCCTTTTCAGGAAAATGGATGAAACTTGAGATACCATGCTGAGGGAGATAAGCCAAGCTCAAAAGACCAAATATAGCATGATCTTGCTTATTTGTGGAACCTAGATCTAAAATGATAATGAAAGAATAATGCTGGGACATGAATGGAAGAGAGGGACTGTTTGAGGGGACTCGGTGGGGAGGGGGAGGGAGAGAGAAAGGAAAGGATTACTTAGGGGTGTAGAGGATCAAGACTGATATATTCTACATATAAATGTGTATATCTGAATAAAGACAGCACAGTGAAATCCATCAGACACTGTTTGAAAATAGCAGAGCACTAAAGGGGGAATGGGAATAGGAGGGGAAACTTGTTTAAAGTAGACTGTACCCATGTATGGAATTATCATATTATCATATTATCATAATATCATTATGAGTGAAATCCCCTCATATTATTATTGTATGCTAACTCAAAAATAAAAATTATAAAATTGTATTGGGTCAACTGGATTTCATAAAATACTTATATACATATATTTCATATTATATACAAAATTAATTTTATATCAATTATAGACCAAAATGTGAGAACAACAAACTTTGAGAACAGAACACAGAATATCTACCTTGGGGTAGGCAAAGATTGTTTAAACAGGACATGAAAATTACTAAATTACTAAAGGGAAAAAATGATAATTTGTACTATACTAGAAAAATTTTTTAAATTGTTCATTGAAAGTCACCATTAACCAAGTGAAAAAGCAAGCTAGAGTGTGGAAGAAGACATTTACAATTTATATGTCAAACATAACAAAGTGTTCTTAGAATCTATAAAATATTCTACAAATCAATAAGAAAAGAAGGCACATGACAATAGACAAAGGGCTTAAGGAGGTACTTTATACAAGAGGACATCCAAATGCCCAAACAAACATACAAAAAGGTGCTCAATTCTGTTAGTCACTAGGAAAACACATACTAACATCACATCGAGGTATCACTAAACCATCATCAAAACGGTCACAATGAAAAAGATCAGTAATAACAAATCTTGATGTGGATGTGGACTGACTAGAACTCTTATATAATGTTGGTGGTTTAATCACTCTGGAAATTTGTTTTGAAATATTTATTGAAACTGAATATACACATCATCTGCTTCAACAGTTACACTCTAAGATCTATACCCAACAGAAATTATGTATGTTTAGAAAAAGGCATATATCATGTCTGGGGCAGTAGTATTCAAAATAGAGAAAAACGAGAAACCCAATGATCCACCAAGTAAAATGGATACAGTCACGCTGTACATTTTCTATAAAATTAGGTTTTATTTGTATGATGTTTAAGAAGAAGCAAAACTAACTAGTCAGAAATCAATGTAGAGATCATTTGGATGACAAAGAGATAGGATAGTGGCTAGAAGGGACTTCTAGCATGGTACAGATATCGCTCAAAGGCCAATGTATTAAGGCTTATTCTCCAGCCTGCAGTACTTTTGAGAAAGGCTGGAACCTTTAAGAGGTAGGGCCTAGTCACAGGGGAATGACCTTGAAAGGGATATTGGGACACCAAGCCCTTTCTATCTCTTTTTTTGCTTCCCAACCACCATGAGGTAAGCAACTTCTTCCACCATGGGCTTCCACCATGTAGACTGCCTTGCCCACAGGCCCCAAACTGACAAAGCCAACCACCAATGCACTCAAATCTTTGAAACCATGAGTCAAATAAAA